AGGTGGGAGGATTACTTGAATCCAGAAGACTGAGGCTGCAATAAGCCATAATCACACCAGTGCACTCCAGCCTGGGCGACAGAGTGAGATTCTGTCTCTTTAAAAAAAAAGTAACATGGAATGAAGGAGATAGGGAAACCACCCATTGTTCCCTCCTGCAACTCTAAATCAATTCTTATACTCTGGGGGGACTGAGAGAGTCAGAAGAGATCGTGGGTTGCCAATAATCCCTACATTTATGCTCAGAACCTACTTGAGATGGGGTAGGGAGGCTGAATTCATTCAAGGCTTTTGCATGGGGCAGTTAGTTCTAGCCCCTATTTAGTGGCACTTTGCCAACATAATATCCCAACACCAGCATGGTCAGACCGTAGAATTAGCCTGACATGAGAAATATGGGGTAAAATGGGAGTCTAGACAGTGGGTCCTGGTTGCTGAGGGCTATTAGAAAGCTGAGGCTTAGAGTCAAGGCAGGAAACCATAACTGAATTTCACCTTGAGTCAACTCCCTCCAGCTTGTGTCTGTCTTCCCAGAACTGCTGGTCTTCCCACAGTTGGGCCACATGAGTCCTTCCTGTTACTAGAGGGAATGGAAGCAAATGTGTGGAAGAGGTCCGGGTTACTGGAAGAACATTTCCTACAGTAAGGGTGGCATGCAAGGGACCCCCATGGGCATCTGTGAGGCCTTCCGTTGATGTCTGTTGTTGAAACCCTGCTTACAAAGTTATTCGTTTTCATACAAGAACATTTTTCTTATTCCCCTTCCTTAAGCAGTTATGAACATATAATATCTAATAATTCAATACTCTTCATCAATACAAATAAGAGCTCCAATCCTAAGAAAGGGGTAGGTTCTGGGTTACATCCCCTATGCCAAATAATCCTCTAATGATTAGTATTACAATAACATTAAACAGATGTAGAAATTTTAAAAAATTAAGGGCTGGTATCCCGACTTTTCATTTGATTTAAAATGACTGATTTACTGCTGGGAAAACCTCTTTTCAGAAGAAAGCTTGTGTGAGTTTTATTAGTTCCCTTGCAATATGGCCACAAGGAAGACGGGATCGTCGGTACTGCCAGCCCATCCTGCATAACTTGGGTATGTTTAAACCCAAAAGCACATTTGTCACATGGGTTATTAGAACTCTACTGTACAGAGTTAAGTGAGCTCTATATTAGAAGGCTTCGGAAGACCACAGCATCCTCATCCCACTCATCCCCAACCCAACTCCCTGTTTTCCCTGTTGAAAATAGACCGAAACTCAGGTCACAAACCAGAACCAGAAACAAGGCCAACCTCAGAATAAGAAAGATGAAGTGCTACGTTCTCCCTAAGTCAGTGGTTCTTTGACTTGAGCGTGTGTAAGAATCATCTGGCAATTTTTTTTTTTAACCTGTAGGGTTTTGGAGATCTTATCTTAGAGATTCTGGATCTCATGGTTTCTGAACACTGTCTAAGCCAGTGGTTTTCAAATCTAGTTGTTACTAGAATCTGCTTTTTAAAAAGAGATGCTCAGGTTGCACCTAATTTAATCAGCATATCGGGGGAGTCAGGGCCAGGCTTTGGTGGCTTTTCAAAGCTCTGTGGGTTGTCTCAATATGAAGCCGGAGTTATGAGTCCCTGGTGTAAGCAAAGAAGCCTCCCATACAGATGTGGCTGAAGGCTCTTTGGAAGTCTTTTGCATGAGGCAGCCAGCTTGACATGCTTATCTTCAGATGGTTGAGGTATCCTGCCCCAACACATCCAACTGGCCATATTAAAAATACAGCATGGACAACGCTTAGAAGGCTTGTGAAACCCTTGGATTCACAGGCTCAAATCCGTGCAGGTGTGCATATGCCCACCTTTCTAGGGAGACAGTCCTTAGCTTCACTGGATTCACTTTATTTTCTTCCCCACCCCCTTGTTTTATTCGATTCCTCATTCGTCCCTTTCTGTCCCCATGCCTTGTTCCCATTCTCGTGGGTAAAGTATGCTAAACTATATCTGGGACTCATAAAGTATCCCTTTGTGATAAAGTATATCTCTTTGTTTGCATGCTTTTCTTTGCTTTCTGTGGATCTATTTGTAATTCATCTAAATGATGTGCTGCTACTCAGTGCTGTGCTTTTAAGATCTATGTTAATTGGTATGCACATCTCAGCAAACTGACACAAGAGCAGAAAATCAAACACTGCATGTTCTCACTCATAGGCGGGTGTTGAACAATGAGAACACATGGACACAGGGAGGGAGCATCACACACTGGGGTCTGTTGGGGGGAAATAGGGGAGGGACAGCGGGGGATGGGGAGTTGGGGAGAGACAGCATGGGGAGATATAGGTGAAGGGGAGGAAGGCAGCAAATCACACCGCCATGTGTGCACCTATGCAACTATCTTGCATATTCTTCAAATGTACCCCAAAACCTAAAATGCAAAAAAAAAAAATTAAAAAAATTGGTATGCACACATCTAATCCGTTACTCCCACCTGCTGCTTCCTGCTTCATGGGGCAGCCCCATTATTCTACGTGTCTGCTTCCCCAGTGATGGATACTCAGCACATCTCCAACTCTCCTTGGCCATGAACAGCCAAGGCTGCTCACAGCCACCTCGTGTATGTCCCCTTACAAACCTGCATAAGAACTTCTTCGGAAATATACCTAGAAGAGAAATTGCTGGGTCACAGCAGGAAGCATGTAGTTCTTTTGACTAGGAAGGGCTGGACTGCTCTCTATATACAGAGCCAATACTCTAATTCCCTTCCCTGGATTCCTGAATGAGCTGAGATCTGCACCCTGCTAAAGTATAAAAGCCATGATAACAGTCTAGGCTGGGCCCTCAACTCTCATTGCCATTTGCTTTTCTTTTTGCCTTTCTTTTTCCTTCTTCCTGGTTGACCTTCTTTCCCATCCCCTGTGGCTGCTGTATTAAACCTTCAACACCACCCTCCAATCTCTTATGCTACCTCAATTTCTTTTTCACAGAGAAAACTGACATCATCTTTAATTTTCTCCCTCCTCTTCTCAGTGTGCCAGTGTCGGCCCCATCTTGATTTGCTTTTTCATTCTTGCTCCCTTCCAGGGCTAACCTCCCCTAGCTTTTATTCCCTACCTTCCTGACTTCCAGGGACCCTGCTGTGTCAGCTTTTCCCATTATTTCTCTACCTCTCTCTTTACTGTTGGCTTATTCTTTGGCCTATAATCTTAGCCAATTCTTTCCCATCCTGAAACCAACTTCTTTTCTACTTAAGCTACCTCTCTTTGTTCTTTTTTTTTTTTTTTTTTTTTTTTGAGACTGAGTTTCGCTCTTGTCACCCAGGCTGGAGTGCAATGGCGCGATCTTGGCTCACCGCAACCTCTGCCTCCTGGGTTCAGGCAATTCTCCTGCCTCAGCCTCCGGAGTAGCTGGGATTACAGGCACGCGCCACCATGCCCAGCTAATTTTTTGCACCTTTAGTAGAGACGGGGTTTCACCATGTTGACCAGGATGGTCTCGATCTCTTGACCTCGTGATCCACCCGCCTCGGCCTCCCAAAGTGCTGGGATTACAGGCTTGAGCCACCGCGCCCGGCCCTGTTCTTTTTAAGTATGTTTTCCAGCCAGATGCAGTGGCTTACACCTATAATCCCAGCACTTTGGGAGGTCGAGGCAGACAGATCACGAGGTCAGGAGGCCATCCTGACTAACATGGTGAAACCTCATCTCTACTAAAAATACAAAAAGTTAGCCAGGCGTGGTGGTGTGCACCTGTAGTCCCAGCTACTTAGGAAGCTGAGGCAGGAGAATCACTTGAACACGGGAGGTGGAGGTAGCAGTGAGCCAAGATCACACCACTGCACTCCAGCCTGGCCACAGAGTGAGATTCAGTCTCAGAAAAAAAAAATTGTATTTTTCATCCATCACCAATTTTTTGAATGCAGTGACATTTCTTCTCACTCAATCCTCCATGCCCACAGTCCAGCCAATGGCCTTCTAGCTGCCAAACCTCTGTGCACTTCCCGGCTCCCTCCTGCTTATTTCTCGGTCACATCTGACACTACTGACAGTCTGCTGCTTCTTGGAGCTGGCTCTCCCCTTGACTTGGCTCTCAGGGCATTATTTTCTCCTGGTTCTCCCCATCTTCCTTCTGCTGCTTCTCAGTCTCTCTCCATCATGGCCTCCTTTCCCTTATGGCTCTCCTCTTTCCGCCTTTGCACTGCCACATGTCCTCCAGAGAGCTCATGTACTTCTTAGGCATCCTGAGTTGTCATATGACTCTGAAACCTGGATCTCATTTTAATTCAACAAATAATTCTTGAAAACTTACTGTGTGCTCAGATCCAGAGTCCCATGTGACATATGTTCACTCTTTCTTCCGAGCTCAAGACCCCTACATCTGACAGAGTTTCTGTTTGGTAAAGCTTGCGGATATGTGTATACCTCGCGGATATGTGTATACCTCACAGACTAGCTAAAATAAATGATATACCTCTGAGTAAGTTTCTTCGGAAGGGGTCCAGAACACAGCCCTGTCTGACAACATGTCAGCAGATAATCCTGCCTGCTCTGATTTTGGCCTGGAGAAGGCACCAAAGGCCTCTGGGGTACAAGATGTACACATATTTTGTTTGACTAAGAAGTACAGGACTGTTCTCCAGAACAGCTGGAGTGCCTGCAGTTCTAAGAATATAATTTGGCCCATAGATTTTCCCCCACCTCCTTTGGAGCACTAAGACACAGATAGAGTACAGGCTGATGAGAATGAATGTATGATGTGAGAACTGTAGATCATGTTAATACTGTCAGTAGCAGACCCTGCCCTAAGGTTGCTTACCCGAATAGTACTGGGATGATGAGGTTCACACATGAAGGAGAACTGTACCAGGCTGAACATAATTCAATGTGAAACTGAATAAACATTATGCCTTTCTTGTAAAAGTTAGGCTGGGCAGATTAGGAAGGAGAGAGTAGCAGATCTCCTCTAGGCTGGCCTGGCTGAGCCTCGGAGGGCCAGCTGCTCTCTGAGACAGCCTTACCTCTGTTTCAGAATCTGCTTGTTGTCATCGATGGTAACGCTGTCAGCGTGGTCCCTCTTGAAGATTTCAAAGGCCTCCTGGCGTCCTAATGACATTTCCTCTCTCATTCCTGTTTGGAGACACAGGGAAATGGCCTCAGTCACAGCATCAGGATCCTATTAATTTCATTGTCACTTTAGTCAGACCACAAAACCAGCCCTGGCTCCAAGAAGCCCACAGCAGAGAGGCTCTGACCAGACAGGTGGCCTCAGGCTCTTCCAGCTGGCCACCAACCAGCCGAGGAGGCCCTTCCAGAGCCACCCGCTGCACCCCGCCAGGACTGTGCCTGCACAGCCATGTGACTCGTGGGGGTGGGGTTTGGAACGTCTGCTCAGAGGAAATGAAAACCAGAGCGCCGAGCCCTGGATTGCCGAGGACGTCTGCAGATGCACTTTCTTGCCATCGTTCAGTGCCACATTTCTTCCTGTTATGCCCTATTTTGTTATTCTGTTAAATTTCCAGGCATTTTGTTGAGAGAATTATAATCTAAACTGAAAGATGGCATCTAGAAAATTCTGCTTTTAGTCTCTGTTTAACAATTCATTCTTGTTTCCTGTGGTTAGTGAGCTGACCATAGCAGGGGTCGCTAGGTCATATCTAACTTCAATATCCTGTATTGCCTTTGCCAATAAAGGCCAACCTTCCCTGCTGGGCCCTGCTACTGGTTTGACTTCTGGAACCCAGGGTCAGTCCAGCCAGGACCAGGCTTTCCTCACCACCTCCTGGAGTGAGGGTCAGTGCAGATGTGTGCCTGGGACCTGTCAGTGAGAGCTGAATTTGCAGCTGGATTTTGGATGCTTTTTTTTTTTTTTAAATGCTTCTGCCCTTGGTTCCTTTGCCTGGGAGGCCTTTTCCCATGTTTTCATCCAGTAGCTCTACCTCCGTGGAGCTTTCATCAAAGCCCAGGCAGAACACTCTTTCCACCGTGTTTCTTATCAATACCCCTATAACTCACACAGCCCAGTGGACACTGCGACTTCACGTGACAATCCCTTCTGGTGAAATGTAAGTTTCTCAGGCGGTAGAGATAATAGTTCTTTTTCCTTTTGGTGAATCCTAGTGTCTTGTTCAACATCTGGCATTTAGAAGGTGCTCAACATACATTTGTTCAGGTTGAGAATGAAGCTGGGTAGTGCTGAGCCTTGCTCTTATTACTGTGGGAACACAGTCCAGGGCTAGTTAGGCTCACTCTGAGGCCAAGGGTTCCACAGAGGCTTTCAAACGGGCCACTTACCACATCTCCTCTTGCCTGGAAAAAACTCTCTGAGTCCCATCACCCATCCCAAGGGTGAGTAACTGGACTAGCCCAGCTGACACCAATTTAACGATTACTGTTGATAAAAATAGTACCGTGAAAAATGTCTAAATGGTGAGGCACACAAAGACACCCCACCCTTTTCTGATCAGAAGCAAATGGGCACGACTCAGCTTTGTCTCCACATCTGCCTTGCACACTCTAGAATTGGGTAGGCCTGGGAATCCGCTTGTGTGAGGCGTGGAAAGATGATCCCTGATGCATGAGAGACATTGAGGGGCACATTTCACCAGCAGAGCCCCCCAGGAGCCAGCGAATTCATTCCACACCTCTCCTCTGTCTGGGTGTGCACCCAGTTCTAACACTGCATGCCTTTTGCTACATAATAAAATTATAACAGATAGTAGAGGACATGAGACTTTGGACTGGAGTTAGGAAAGAGGAAAGCTCCACAGAGACCACACTGGAGCCTGTCTAGAGGAACCCTAAATTGCCTCCCACAGGGGAGCTGATGAGCAGGCTTCTACCAACAGAGAAGGTGTTGGGGAGTGGGGGGGGGCGGTGAAAAAGTTGAGGGGGTGGGGAGTGAAAGGTTGCTCAAAAAGCTGCAGGGAAGAAGGGTTCACAGGCCCTTCCCTCCCAGGCTCTGCTTTCTTTGCAGAGTTGACAGTGTGAACTGACAGCTGGGTGGAAAGAGCCATGCCAGAGCCCATGGCAATGTGACAGCAGTTGCTCCTGGGAGAACGTACAATGCACTGAGCAGTCCACCGGAACTAACTATATTCCCAACAACCAACAACACAAACGTAAATGACAATGTGAAAACACAAAACATGAATCACGCCTTCCTCAAGGTGCACTGGGGCCTGGGCGCGGGGAGCAGAAAGGACATGGAGAGCACAGAGGAGACAAGCACAGGCAGTTTGGGATCATTGTGTACAGAGTCTTGAAGGTCCTGCTGAGAAATCTGGGGCCAGCAGCATAACATACTTTACATGCATTGCCAACTTTCAGAGACTTAAAATGGAATAAAGTATACATTATGGGAAAGTTACACTGAAAGGATTTAATACTCTTGTTGACTTAAAAGGCACTTAGGGGTCCTGCCATGCCAAGGGCTTATCATCAGGAACATAACATTGGTTTTCCTTCTATCACTGACAAGGTATTCTGGCGTTGGAGTTCTTTGATTGCGGGGACCACAGGTGAAGGACATTATAATGATGGCTATAGTCTTATCAGCTGGTTTCCTAAGTGTCCACTCGGGGAGGCCAAGGTGAGGTGGCTGAAGCATAGCCAGAAGGCAAAGAGGTGAGGCAAGGCTGGGATGCTTGCAGAGACTTCATGGCCACCACTTGGAGCAATGCTGAGGTCCACAGAGGGAGGGTCATGGGAAGGACTCACAGACAGCTCCAGTGTGTGAGCCCAGGTCCCAGCCTGGCCCTACTCTTGTCCATTCCCATCCTGCATGTTCGGAGCCTACATGCAGCTCCTTTGGATTGCACTAATATACTATTTAGCACTCCAATTTGGGATCAGCTGCAAAGTTAATAAATAGCTTTTTATTTTTTGAAGAAATCACTTCCTTTTCCCTCTGAGGATGTAGAAACAGGCTCTTTCTCCTATGGCAAGTTCCTGCCTCTCAGCATGCACTGTATGCATTTGAAAGAGAAAGAGCAAAGGAGCAAAAAGAGTGATTAAAAGCTCACCTTGCTAATGAGAAAATCATCTATTTATTTATTCTCTCAGGAAGTATTTATTTATATTAGTCATTGTGCTAGGCATGTGACAGAGATGTAAAGCTGAACATCAAAGCTTCGATCCTTGTGTTTAAAGAATTGAAAGTCCAGTAAGGGAGAAAGAAAAGTGAACAAATATTTACAATGGAGGTTGCTGCTTGCTGTAGAGAAGCATGTGTCCAGCACAGGAGACAGGGAGGGAGGGAGGGAGGGAGGGAGGGAGGGAGGAACTCTCTGGGAGAGTGGGAGAAGCCTGCAAGCCAGAGAGAGCAAGTGAACCTCATCTGGAAGGATCCTGAAGGATGGAGCAGCATTTCCCAGGTAGAGAAGACATGAAAGAAGATCCCAGGTGGAGGGGGCAGAGATGGAGTGCCAATTAAAAAGCCAACTTGATTAATACGGGTGGCTCTGCCATCCAATAGAAATGATCTCTAGTTGATTAAAAAATGAATTTCTTATATACACTATACCAAGCATAGTATCATGTGCCTTCTTACACATTATGTCAGTTAAACTTCTCTATGATCTCTGTTAATTTAATTTTATAGATGAGAAAACTGAGACGTAGACAAATATGTGATTATAAAGGGGTGAAAACTACCCAGCTTTTAGAGGCAGTCAGATCACTCCTAGCTCAGTTTTTCCATGGAAAGCAGGCCTGACAGAGAAGGCAAGGTGGTAGGGCTCAAAATGACCTGGTAATATTAATAGTAGATTTACCCATGAGATCATACTCTTATTAGTGCCTACCTAAAATGTTGGTTTATTTTTACAGTATCACAGAAAAACAGAACCACATATGTTTTGTTTTTTTTTTTTACCACCTGCATAGTTTACTTCATCTGTTAATGTGTTTTATTATTATTTCTAGAATTTATAAGCTCCATGAGGGCAGGTATTTAAATTGCTTTTTTAATTTCAATAGCTTTAGGGGTACAAGTGTTGTTTTGATTACATGGATGAATTGTATAGTGGTGAAGTCTAGGATTTTAATGCACCCATCACCCGAATAGTGTACATTGTACACAATACCCAATAGGTAGTTTTTCATCCCTCACCCGCCTCCTAACCTTCCCTATTCTGAGTCTCCAATATCTATTATACACCACTCTGTACACATTTGCATAACTATAGCTTAGCTCCCACTTATAAGTGAGAATATGTGGTATTTGGTTTTCTGTTCTTGAGTTACTTTACTTAGGATAATGGCCTCCAGCTCCGTCCAGGTTGCTGCATAAGATATTATTTTGTTCTTCTTTGTGGCTGAGTAGTAATCCATGGTATATATATACACCACATTTTCTTTATCATGGATAATTGAGTTGTTTTCGTATCTTCTCAATTGTTGTGCTGTGACAAGCATATGCATGCACGTGTATTTTTTATATAATGACTTTCTTTGAGGAGATACTCAGTAGTGAGATTTCTGGATCAAGTGGTAGATTTACTTTTAGTTCTTTGAGAAATTTCTGTATAGTTTTCCATAGAAATTGTATTAATTTACAGTCTGACCAGCAGAGTATAAGCATTCCCTTTTCACCACATTTGTGCCAACATCTATTGTTTTCTGACTTTTTATTAATGAGCATTCTGGCTGGTGTAAGATGGCATTTCCTTGTGGTTTTAATTTGCATTTCCCTGATGATTAATGATGTGGAGTATTTTTGCATGTTTGTTGGCTATTTTTGTATTTTTTTTTTGAGAGCTGTCTGTCCATGTCATTTGCCCACTTTTTAGTAGGATTATTTGATTTTTTCTTGCAGATTGGTTTGAGTTCTTCGTGGATTCTGGAGATTGCTCCTTTGTCAGATGCATAGTTTGCAAATATTTTCTTTCATTTTGTAGGTTGTCTGTTTACTCTGTTGATAACTTATTTTTCTGTGCAGAAGCTTTTTAGGCCCCATTTATTTATTTTTGTTTTTGATGCATTTGCTTTTAGGGTGTTAGTCATAGATTCTTTGCCTAGTCCAATGTTCAATAGAGTTTTCCTATTTTTTTTCCTAGAATTTTTATGGTTTCAAGTCTTAGATTTAAGTCTTTAATGCAGCTTGAGTTAATTTTTGTACATGGTGAGAG